TCGACAATGACAAAAAATTTAAAAAGATCAATGTGCACTCTCTCCCCGTAAGTTGTAGACATAGGCTTTTTTCTTACCTTCAAGTTTTCTTACCTCTTTGCTTTTATTCTGAGCTGCCAGACAAATTTTACATTATCCAATAAATTTTTCAATCTGTTGATCCATTTTTGACCACAACACATAAGATCTAGCCAACTCCTATGATCTCACTATACCAACATAGCTATGGTATAACATGGTCAAAACCTTCATCCACAAATTCTGAAGTATGACGACTTTATTTCATAAAAATATACAAACATCACTAACAGACAGTAATTTAAAATAACCTTAAAATAAGCATAAAGTTCTGTCTGATGAGATATCTTCAACTAAGAAAACTTTAGGCATTCACTGACTGACTTTAAGACTTATTTATTATTGAGTAAACTACAACATTTTACTTCACTAAACGGAATTAAAGGTGTGAACATATAAATAAAATTATTGGCATCTAAATCAGGGCAACTTGCTTTTACTGGTAGATGAGACATTATGTCTGCTTGGGACATACATTTCCTTTTTGAAGACAATTCTATATTGATAAGCCAACAAAGTAATATACCATATGACTAAGCTGGTGGAATTTTCTTTATTTCGGAGAAAATAGACTTTAATGGATCATGGTATCTGACAATAATTGTAAACAATCTGCCAAACAGATATTTGATGACCCCCAAATTGACTGTAGTTCCTTTGTGCTGCAGTAAGCGAGGCAGATCCAAAAAAGATGGGTTGTTCAGAACCATCAACAATATGGTTTAAAACTGCGCCAAAACCGTAGGAACTGGCATCTATTGTTATCACAAAGGGCTTAGATGGGTCAAAATGCACTAACAGTGTCCTTTCAGTTATCACTCCTTGGAATGTTGAAAGGCTTTTTCACACTCCAAAGACCATGACCAGGCAACATCCTTCATAAGTAGCATTCAAGCACATCAGCCCCCATTTCGATGAAATTTTTATAATTGATTGATGACAAAAAAAACCACTTTACTGACTTATATTACAAGGCCGTGGAATTGCAATAATTTCCTCAACTTCGATATTACTGGGACATCTACCAGTTCCAGAAAGATGAAATCCCAAAAAACTTATATATATAAATTATTGGAAGATAAATAATAATTTTATATTGTTTTGTAACCTTGTAAATCATCCCACATTTTATTAAAAATTTTAACAGATAACAATAAATGTGAAACCATATATTTTTTTAATCATTTATTTAAATATTTATCAGTGTTTTAACATTAAAAATATTAGATATAAACTCTTTAGTTTATTAATTATTCAGAAATAGTGAGATGTGGTCTGGTGAGATGTAGGTTTCAGAAAAACATTTTCTTTATCGTGCCAACGTTTCGATCTTTATTGAGATCATCTTCAGGGCCTGGGATTTACAAACATTGTTTACATTTAACATGTAGGATGTGGAAAAAAGTGAATTTATACAATGCAAAATACATTTTTTATATTCAATCAAAGTATTTCTACTCACTCAAAGTGTTTGTCTTCTGTGTAATTGTGCCATTGTGAGTAGAAATACTTAGATTGAATATAAAAAATGTATTTGCATTGCATAAATTCACTTTTTTCCACATCCTACATGTATTTGTTAAATGTAAACAATGTTTGTAAATCTCAGGCCCTGAAGATGATCTCAATAAAGATCGAAACTTTGGCACGATAAAGAAAATGTTTTTCTGAAACCTACATCTCACCAGACCGCATCTCACGATTTCTGAATAATTATCGATTAACGGTCACTAACCACCACACATTTCTTTAGTTTGTAACCCTTTTTTAACAGCTATAGTTAAAATATAAATCAATTAAAAAAAAAAAAAAATGGAATTCACATAACAATCACAATATGAAACATTAAATTCTCGTAGTTAGATAGTTTTTTGGCATGGCTTAATTGTTTGTCATGTTTATTTTCTATTAAAACAGGCTTGATAGAAAAAAATGTAACACAATCTTTAAGTTGATAATGACGATTTAAAGCTACTTGTAATGGACCAATCGCACAACAAACCAAAAGTTACTTATCATCTATTGTACATGAAAAAAAAAAACTATATAAAATACAAAAAAAAAAACTTTTAATATCATAACTTTTTACAGAACAGTACATGTGGCAGTAATGCTCAATAAGGTACTATTATTTTTGTTTTAAAAATTTAAATAATTAAGAACTGCTTGTATATCATCGTAGACCAATTTTTTTTTTTAAATTTAAATTTAGGACCTAATTCCAATTAATTATTCTTTCTATGTAAGGTATTGGTTGAGATAAAAAAGTCATGTCATGAGCGGGATTCGAACCCACGACCTTCGGCTAAATACGGCACTACTCTACCACTTGAGCTATAGGAGCTATAGCTATATATTGGTAGAGCATCGGAGTATTTACCCAAAGGTCGTGGGTTTGAATCCCACTCATGACACTGACTTTTTTATCTCAACCAATACCTTACATAATCCACAGAATCCTGCTCGTGACAGTGACTTCTTTATCAATACCTCACATAAAGATTTGAAACATGTTATTTGGTCAATTGGACCATGAAATCTAATGGGATTAAATACATTTTTTTTTTTTTTTTTTTTTTTTTGATGACTATCTATTCAAGAGAAATTCAGCCGGGCTGTCGAGAAAAGAACACCTTGTATAAAAAAAAATACAAAATACAAAAACCCTTCCAGTAAAGTAGGCGAAAAACAAATTTTGTTGAACAATTCTGGATTCTTTTTTGCATTTAAAATCCTTGAATTAATAAAAAAAATAGACATTTCTGACTGGATTCATTAAAGGGCAGTTTTTTCACACTGATGTCCAATGTTCAATTTAAAAATTTATAACACCACTGGATTTTAGCTAAATTCAACATTATTACAACCATCTGAAATTTTCTGCTTTCAGGTTTTTGATTTTCTGATGTCTTGGTTGAGATAAAAAAAAGTCAGTGTCACGAGTCGGATTCGAACCCACGACCTTTGGCTAAATACGCCACTGCTCTTGAATGCTACTTGTGTCACTGATATTTTTATCTCAACCAAGACCTTACATAGAAAGGATTATTAACTGAAATAAGTAACTTGGTCAATTGACCACTAAAATGTAAATGGATTAATATTTAATAAGGAAAAAAAAATCATTTCACTAAACAGCTCTCCATGGCTACTTCATAAGTCGCTGAGAATCCAATCCTGATTACAAGACATTTGAAAATGGCAAAAAGAGGGAAAATTCGAACGGTTGTAGGTTGAGATCGAGAGTTGGTGTCCGGGAGGATCGAAGTCAAGATAGCTCAAGCGATTAGAGTAGCGGTCTTGCGAAGGTCTTGGGTTCGAATCCCGCTCGTGACACTGACTTTTTTATCTCAATCAAGAATTTATATAGAATAATTAATTGAAATAAGTAACTTGGTCAATCGACCACTAAAACGTAAATGGATTAGAACCTAATATTAAAAAAACATAAGTTAATAATCTGAACAGAATCCAAAATAACAAAAACTTTTTCTTTTTGACTGGTATATACTATGTACAATACTTTAAGTACAAATTATTTGTAACAATAATTATAAATAGGATCTCAAAATCAGTTCTAATCTTCTACTGGTGTTGGACATGGCTCTGGAAACTAGAAACCTATGGCTGAACATTTGTATAGACCCCGTAAATCTAGAGCTATACAAGAATTTCCCTGTTTTTATGCTGTAGACTGCGAAGTACTGATTTGCACGATCGTTGGAACAAAGTAAAAGATATCTCTGCAGAATAACAACTAACGTCAGTTGTTGCTGACTTTGGCATTTAGGAAGTGTCAACAACTCAGACCAGATAATTTCGCCAGTCAGGATTGACATGGCCTGGAGGAAGAATTGATTGTTTACAAAACTCAAAATATAAGCCAACGGAAGTTCACTGTGTAAAGTGATGCATAATGGATTGGCGAAATTATATCTTTTGACAGCCCAATATGTCAGATTAATGAACACAAGAGAATCGTTGGAAGTGTCGTCTTTGAAGCAGACGTACTGAGTGTTAAAAGTTATGTTTTTCTTATGGCTTACAATTTGATTTTTAGTAATAATTTTTTCTCTTCCATTTGGGCAGAAAGAAAAAATTCCATTTTTAGCTACTACAACTAATTGGTTTTCATTTACACAAAAATCTACATGGTTTTCACCATTAATAATTTTTTCAATATTTCCTGTTTTTCTATTTATTATTAGAACTTCCCTTGAAAACTCATTGAACAGCCAAATATATTCTTTAAATATGGCAATACAGAAGATTAACAATGTGTGAGAAAATATTTTTGACATAAAAGCTTCTTTATCAACAACAGTCGTCTTGACACCATGACTATCAAGCGCTATTACTCTTTCGAATATAAATTCCCCATTCATATTTAGGTAAATTACAACTATATTATTAGACGTGATGATAAGAGTCTCACAGTCATAAGACAAAAATAAACTCCCATCGTTTGGAATAAGGGTTCTCAGTCTCTGAACTTTCCTAAACACCTTTTCCTTTAATCTATAAACATCCACAGAACTGTGATTATAAAAAGAATGAAACATCCAGCCTTTTCGTATAGTGATGTGTTCTACACTAGAATCGAGTTTAACCTCTTTGTAATCGTCATTTTTCCAGTTCCTTACTAATTCTCCTGCAAAGGCACCATATAGCAAAGCCCATTTATTCATTGCTTCCAATGTTTGTCCATTAGCTGGTGCACCTGAGAATGGACCACAATGTTATTTGGTGGGCTGAACGATCAGCCAAAAGGTTTCAGTTGAGAAAAAACCATGCCAGGCACTCTCTAGTTAAGTATTAATTCGAGTAAATATGACCAAGCTTTTTAACTTTTTAAATTCACTGTACCATTTGAATAGAAAGCACAATTTAATTAAACTCTGATTTTATCTAATACTACTTACTGGGTATGTTCTTGCTGTCAATGTACTCTTCGTGTATGTCGTCCAGTTCACACAAATGTTTCCACAAAGTATCAGAATTTCCAATACTCCTCCATCTTTTCGAGACCATACAAGACCTCGCCAAGTCAGTAGAATTTAAATATGAAAAAATTTTGTAGATTAGTTCAGTTGGGAGATCTCCGAATCTGAATGACATCTTTTGTTTATTCCTGCAAGTTAAATAATACATTATTAACTAAAATATATACTAATAAGGTTAGTGAAACCGATGACTGCCTAAAATTTAAGTTGTGACGGTCAAATTAAACAAAATACAAAAAAAAAAAATTACAAGAATTCCTGTTGTGCCAATTATAAAGGTTAGGGGACAATCTGGGACTAGCACACATTAAAAAAAATTATTACCATCTGTACATTATAATTCATATATATGTTATGTTTTGATACATATTTACAAATAACATTAACACAGTGAATGTTTTGAGATTAGTTAAAAACCTTTGTTTGTCTCCCAACTTTACTCATGGGCTAATCTTAGGCACGGAGGTCCTGGGGCCATCTCTGCCTTAGCATCTGATTGGATTATAGGGATAAATTATCGTATTGGGCTAAAGGGTTGGAGAGTTTATTGTGAAACCTGGAAAATTATGTGGGTATTTTGAGGTCATTGTGGAGAGACACTGGCAACAGTAGACAGTATTAACTATGATTGTAAGGACTTTGGATTGGAAAAACTGAATTCTTTGGATATAGGTATGTTTAGCAGTGCACCACAATTCCAGTCCATATGTCCAAATCGGTTCCGGTAGTGGTTTTATTAGTTTGTTTTTTGTTGAGTTAGATTTGGACCCCAAGCAGTTTATACAGTAGTCTGAAATGTCTGTTCAGTTCCTGTTTTTTATTTATATGTTTTGGTTCCAGGTTAAACAAGCATTTTTACATCATGCCAGTGTTAAAGGCTTTTGCCACAAGGACAAGACCTGTGGGCTTTTTAACTTTAAAACCTCCATTGATGTGGTCTACTAGCCTAGCAAGTTGACCTACTGTGCTAGCCAAGGACAGGAACTGAGTTGTTTTTCCTTTATAATATGTAGAGTAGCTAAATGAGTTTCAATCCTTCTTGATCTTTTCAAAGATTATGCTCAAAGAGCTGAATAGATTAATGGGTCTCATATCAAGTTCATGTGGCTTGCCCTGTTTTTTTAAAAACTTAGTTTTGAGACTTTCTAGCAATTTGGAAAGTAGCTTAGGAAAAACAACAGTGAAGAGGTGGGCTCCTATGCTTTTTTAAAAATGTTTTTGACCCACCAGGAAATGTTTGATTTCTTTAGGAGTGACTAAAATACACTCATGATGAGAGAACAGGTTTGCGCTGCTCTCCACAAATCTATTGACTTGTTTAGCTTTTGTAATAATAACCCAATCAAAAATAACTTTTTCCTGTCAATGGGTTTTTGCAAGGAGTCATAACGAAAATAAATTTTAAAGTATTATTATGTAAGGGTGTGGGCAGCGGTAGCCAAATGGTTAAGGCGTCAGACTCTTGGCTATTAGATCCCATAGTGGTCATGGGTTCAATCCCCTCCATTGCTTCTGAACTCTTTTTCTGTTGCTTAAGGGGACCAGTGGTCACAATTGAAAGAAACTGACACGGGGCGGGATCGGATCTCAGCGACCCTGAATTTTGGTCCCAACCCCCTTCAAAAATGAGTTTCTTCGATGGAAGAACACTGGCACACGAGGGGCAATTCACATGCATGTTGTGAGCTCCCAAAAATGGAGCCAGGAATAAAGTACAATAAGCTGTACAGCTGCAGTGCTTAGGGGGACCTCCTATCCTGGTATCCATAAAAAAAGATTTATGTAAGTAAAATTCCTGTCATACAGGGGAGGGGGCATAATGGGACGATGTCATGGGGGACGAGGGGTCAAACCACTTTTACACACAATACGTTTTGAAAGAAAGAAAAAACTTTATCCTGGGATGAGGGTTCCCTAAGAACAACTACAACGGACAAAAATGTTTGTAAATCTGGCACTTGAATTGAATTATTAAAGGTTTGTCATTATCATATAGTGGAATAAGTTGCAATGAATCATCTAGTACAAAATATAAAAAATGGAAATAAGAATTTAGAGAAAAAAAATTAAATTAATCCCCTGTTTTGTGTGAACATAATCGCAAAATGTAAATTTAAAAAATGAGAATAAAAAATAAAAAAATAAGCTAGAACTTATTTAGCAAAAGGACCTAACAATATTGTCGGACTATGTTGTCTCTGTTTGGAGGGAGATTGCTCATACAGGAGGGATTTAAAAGAGGCAAGGGTTGCGATTTGTACAAAGGAAGAAAATTCCAGATATTTGTGGCTCGAGCTAGGAAGGACCACTCAAATACGGAGGTTTTAAGACAAGAGAGGGATACGGATAGTGATAAAAGAGATGAACACAAGGCCTCCTGTACCTCGACCTGAGCAGGTCTATCGTCCTGTATTTGCTACAACTTATCGGTTGTTCATCAACCTCCATAGCCTTACCAGTGGCGTCTTAGTTACCTTGCTTGTAGCTTTTCCTTTACTACATAGATGCAAGGGCCTGACCGATGAGGGAGATATAAGGGAAACTAGTGAGTGTTACGAGAGCGGATAAAAAATTTGAGTGAAATACTGTTTTCACAATGTAATCAATTAAAAATCCATGGGCTCTGACGGGATTCAAACCCAAAGGAATATAAATGATACATTACTCCTACTAAAAATTACCCTTAGATTGCTTGACTACAGATCTAACTTACACCTAACAAACTCACCATTTACAAGACTTTCCTAAGACTGATATGAACTTACAAAACTGAACTTTGGGAATCAAAGAAAAAACTAATTATTATAAAATCCAATCAAACATGCTAAGAAAAATATTAAACTGTTCCTTATACATCTCAAACCTAACAATCCACAACGTCCTGCAAATCCCATTTGTAACTGAAATTATTAAATCCCAATCAAAAACTTCCATAAAAAATTTAAACCTTCGTCAACAGCTTTCTTGTTCAAACCTCCCTGAAAATCAAACAAGTCGTTTGAAGTGCGGTTGTGGTCGTGAGTAGAAATCGGTTGGCTCACTGCTGGGTGACGTCTATCAAGTGTTACATGCTACATTGTTATTATGTCTGTTATCTCATTTCCTTGTTGCGACTAAAAAACACAGTTGTAACAAATCATAATAAGAAGAAAAAGTTATTAAATCTCAATGACACTACAGCATTGTAGACTCACTCACGAACATGTTCTACTAACTATCATCTTTAAATTATTTCAGTTTATAGAAATGATGAACGTTGGAGTGAGTGCGGTGTTCAATCCTTTTTAAAAAGATAGTTCCTACTCACACTAAGTTGTTTTTCAACGATCCGGATTTCGAGCTTTTAGCTCATCAGATTGTAGAACTCCTTCAACCTGATGATGAGCTAAAAGCTCGAAATCCGGATTGTTGAAAAACAACTGTTTGTAGGAACTATCTTTTTAAAAAGAATTATTTCAGTTTGTACGCGGCAAAACTTCAAACCAACATTTTGTACTATTATACAGATGCTTATCCATTTAAGCGAGATCTAGAAAACCTGCGTTACATTCTCTTATGAAGGTGCGCTGAACATAGAATTTGATACAATTAAACTACTTGACAACCCAGAATCCTCGATATTGGTGTTCAGCCTGTCTTGGATTGTTTACTATATTTTTAAGTTTTTGCTAAGCATAAGCTCACTCGGTAACTCTGCAGGAACTTGCACGATAAATCATGTTTGAAATCGTATTTCCTAATTACTTTCTTTTAATTTCCTACTTGGCTTAAGGTGAATAGAAAGAGGATACTTTTCATGTTTTCAACCCATACAAATCACCCAATTTGGGGGTTTATAAATAAAAATTAGGATGGTTTTAAATGGGATCAATGTGTTATCTATAAATAGCCTATTAATTAATTAATTTGAGGAGTTTACCACCTATTTTTCTAGCGACTATACTGAAGAAAATAACACCACTTTGGGACTGTTTTGATATGTTTTTATACATCAAAGTCTCAAGTATGGAAAATAAAGAGAACAGATAGAGGAACAATATTTACTAAAAGATTATTCATTAAAGAAATTCATACCGGGGAAATGCTTCGGCGAGTCGTCTTATCGAACCAAATTAATGTTCAATTGAAAATTGCCAGGGCAAAATAAACTATGGAGAATTCATAAGTAGCCGGAAACGAACTTGGAAAATACAGATTACAGACGAACACAGAACACTGTTGTGAGTGTCAGCGAGACTCAGCCTTTACTGTCTGTTGGGCGGTAAATTCAAATTTGATTCATTGCTCTTTATAATTTTTAACCTTTTTAAGGATTGGATTCATTTGAATTGAAAGATTTGATGAGTTAAAAGAATGAGAAAGTTTTTACACATGCTTGAAAACAGTTTTTGGTTTATAAGTCACTATATCAGACTTGCTCCTAATTAGAAATTGTTAAAGATTTGGGCATCATGGTATGGTATGGTAAGGTGATAAGGATACTAGGAAGTGGGGTTTGTAGTTTCCAGGCACTGCAGCCTTCTGGCTTATTCCTAGATCCTTAGTTCAGTGCAATAGACTAAATCCTTGTCCTTAGAAGTATCAGGTCATTGACTGTCACTGCTACAATTTCATTCCCTAGGTTTTTTTCTGTATGCTAGGTTATGTTTTCATTGAGCTGTTGTTTTGCATTGGAGGATGATATGGGTGGCTGTTTCCTCCTCCTCATTATATAATCTGCACATGGGATCTCATAGTTGTATATGCCCATTTTGTGTAGTTGTCTTCTCAGATGTCAGAGACAGCTAGTAGTCCTATCACTCCTCTGAGTTAGCCCTCTCCAGTTGCAGCACTGATTTTCCCAGTCTTGGAAAAGTGGTGGTCTTGCGGATCCTCATCTGGCCAGTCTGTCTGCTTTGTCGTTACCCAAAATTCCTCTGTGCCTTGGCACCCAAGATATCATCAGGTTGTTGTGATTCCCCAGGTTTTGGAGATTTTGGATGCATTCGCTGACTAATTTTGATGTAATTCTTTTACATGCTAGTGCTTTAATGGCTGCTTGGAGTTTTTTGCCAGTGTAACCTCTTTTAAGATTTTCCAGGGCACAAGCATTGATGGCATGTATTTCTGTTTGAAAGACCGAAGTGTACTTCCCTAATGAGTTTGATTGCTTATGTTTTGGGCTTGTACAGCAAATGCCCAATACGGTTCCTTCATCTGTTTTGGAGGCATCTGTATAATATACATATCATTGTATCTGATGTTCTCCTGTGTTCTTCCTCTCTTTTATAGGTGAGACATTATAGAATGTTGTGAAGAATGTTTCCGGGAACATATAGTCAGTCCCCGTTTCTAAGAATGGGTATCTGATTTTGTTGATTATGTTTGTATGCCTGAATTGTTTAGTTCCTTTCCAATTTAGTTGTTTCTGGAGCCTAAGTAAACTTTTCCTAACCTCTCCTTGTATAAATATTTCCAGTGGAAGTAGATTTAGCAGAGTTTCTAGTGCACTTATAGGGGTTGTTCTCATTGCCCCTATAGGGTTGGTAGTTTTTGTAAGCTGCCTAATTTTGAATAGCTGCTTTTCATTGAGCTTTGGTCCACCAAATTAATGATCTTGTCATCATTATTGACAGTCAAATAAACTTTTCACCCACCCACACACACACACACACACACACACACACACACACACACACACACACACACACACACACACACACACACACACACACACACACACACCCACATTAGTACTGCTAAAGTAAATAAAACTTTAGGATTTATTACACATCATACTTGGCATTTCAATGATTCAGATGAGCTTAAAATTTTATACACTTCTACTGTAAGACCAATATTAGACTGTTTAACTCTTTGGGCTCCCTCTCTATAAAATATAGATATACTTAATATCAGTGTAAGTAAATTTAAGCAAATTTTATCATTAGAATATTAAATATTGTATCATTAATATAATAAATTAATATTCGTTTTGATTATAATTAATAATTGATAATTATGTAGTATTAGTACATATTTCACATTGTTTCAATTCATTTTACTTTTTTACTATTATTATGTTTATAAACATTTCTAAATTTATGTACAATTATAACCTTTATACTTTTATTGAGTTCATTTGTAATTGAGAAACAGTAAAAAATAAGTAAATAAATAAGTTGTCTGTCCTTTGCTCACTAATCTGTCATCAATAATTTAACAAAACAAGCAAGTACATGAGTAATTGAAAATAGATATTATTCTTATCAAAAATGTGAATGACCAGAAACGGGCAAAGTGTACATTAGTTTTCAAAAAATAAACAAGATTAGATAATTGGTCATGTGAAGAGCTCGTATTTATTTAAAATAAAAATACTCAAATATGCTATATAATACGCATTTATAAAACCTCAAATATGCAATATAATTTGTGCTAAAACTAACAAAATGGAACAAAGAATGTAATGGACATCACTTGACTAATAATCAACTATTTTTTTAACCTAGACATATAGTTCCTTTTTTATCTAGTACTATTCATTTTGAAAGGTAATAGAACATAACAATCGAAACTTAGAATATACAAAATAAATAAAATTAGCCTAATTAAGTTCATGGTCTAAAGAATAATTTTAAAGTTTGTTTTATAAAAGTACAGCGTTTATCGATCAAACAATATTTGTAATTCAAAAAAGATTTTCAACATCATACATTTAAGATATCATTGATTTTATCCCAATTTGGTCAAGTGATAGTTTTCTGTCTTTTAATTTTTCTTGTAATAAAATGTCTACTTCACTGCAAATTTTACTAATTTCTGTTTTGTGTTCAAATGAAAAATCCAACATGCTTTTTTTTTTTTTTTTTTTAGAAAAAGTTAAGTTCCAATTTCAGGCATTGTTTTATGTTTACTAGGTTGAAAATATGAAAGACTACAAATCCCTTTTCCTCAACTTGACTACTTCAGAAAAAAAAAACAATATTTCAGGAAAGGCAAAAGTTTCACCTAGATGTTTTGGAAATAGGGGCCTCAAAAAAGTTGCTGATTATTTCAAAATACTTCAAATTGGGTTTGGCAAGATAATTACAAGGCAAAAAAAATGTGTTAGATTGTTTACAAAATGTTCCAGGCAAGTTAACGGAATTCTAAATCAAATTTTAGACTGCTTTTTTCCTCTCAAGTTCTCAGTTACCTATTTTTTTTTTTTTTTAATAATCAAAAATGTTTCAAACTTGCAATAACCTTGAAATATGCAAATTTATTCAATATTCATTAAATATACAAAAATACACAGAATAAAATTTAAACCCTTGTATCACAAAAGTGTAATTCAGATAAATACTCCGATCACCATGATCGTTAAGTGTTAGGAAAAAGTATGTGCAATTGCATACAAATTCGAGCTCTAGTCATGTGTAAAGGTTTTGTTATTAAGAATTTCATGGTCATGCCCAGATTTTTTCTCATAAATTAGACATGGAAAATAGACCGTAACAAACAAGAACATACCTGAACATTAAGAATAGTATTGAAAATAGTATTCTTGATGAAAATATGAACATAAACTGACAAATTGTGAACAATAGTATTTGACAAATGATCATGATTATATAATATCGGTCATGTGCAATGTTTTGTTGATAAGAATATCATGATGACTTTCAAGTTTTGCATTATTTAAATTCTGTACTAAAAATTTAAATAATATTTTTTGGCCTTTGAATTGTTCTTTGAAACCAGCAATGGTCAATTCTGTCAAACTCTGCTTACAGGAGATAATTAACTAAGCTCCTAGTTGTATATAGTGGTTAAAACTCAGTAATACTTTTATCAGGTTTTATTAATCAGTATTAATACCATTGATAATTTGTCCTTGTTTAAAAAACTCCTGTTTTGATTGAGGGATCTTTAATTTTAGAAAATAAATGTACACCAACGGTCTTCATTTCTTGATTCTATATAGAGAGCACGTAGGATTGTGCCAACCTATATGAGATTGGTGCTTGAACCAGCAACATCTGGGGTCCCTGTTTTGATTTGTAGAGGAAACAGGGATGGTTTACAGTACACAATACTTTATAGACATCTCGTTTTTTTACATCGAAATACAACATAAAATAATAAATATATTTGTAACTTATATTTTAAGCAAGCGGAAAAGGCATAGTTAGATGGTGTCAGACCACATTTTTACTTATGAATAATCTGGATCTTGGCATGGCCACATGATGAAAAAAAACAAATTCAATTATTATTTGCTAAGTATTACTGATTCAGTCCCATTCTATCCAAGGAAGACGAAAATGTACCATTGCTACTGCCTAGTACCAAAACTTTGGTTACGATCCTTGGCAATGTTGTGACTGAATCGGCCTTCATATAAATATGAAACCATCCATTAAAAACTTAATTATGTTACTTTGTAGACATCTTTAAGATTATTTTGTCTTGATTGCTTGATTGTTGCCTAAACATAGGTCAAAAGCCTGGCAGATAATAATTGAATTTTTTTTAAATCTAGACCATACCAAGATCCAGATTATTCCTGGGAAATATGAAAGTATATATTGTAAATAAAGTTTTTCAATATTTAAATATGTTTTCAAGATAACATAGATATTTAAATATTGAAAAACTTTATTTACAATATATACTTTCATATTCCCAGGAATAATCTGAAAAAAAACCCCAAAAAAACAAACCATCCATTAAAAACTTAATTATGTTACTTTGTAGACATCTTTAAGATTATTTTGTTTTGATTGCTTGAGGGATGGTTAGGTTTTTGGTTAGGGATGGTTTTTTTTTTTTTTTTTTTTTTAATCCAGACCATACCAAGATCCAGATTATTCCTGGGAAATATGTAAGTATATATTGTAAATAAAGTTTTTCAATATTTAAATATCTGTTTGTTATCTTGAAAATATAAATTACATGTATGTGAACAGTAGGCTTTTTGCCAAAGGGAATAATCAAAACGGCCAAAAATTATAGCAATAGTGTAAAAATACCACAGTTTGCAGAGAACCATGTGTTCAAATACAAATTAATTAATCAAATTGTAATTATTATTAGAATTTACTTCTTGCCAACTTTAAGTTCATCTTAAAGCTTACACGTTTGCTTCTTCAAGAATTGAACTATCAATTTTCTCTTCAGTACTCGAAATGTCTTACTTCAAAGAATGAATATCAAATAGGAATTATATTTTCTAAATACTATACAGAATTTAATAAGCTCAGCCTGCAGATGAATTATATATTATTACCACTAAATTTAATAGTTAC